AGTTTTATGCCGCATTCTTACGTGGACCCGAAATTTTTGCTTACGTGGCATAAAAAAGTAATGGCATTCTTGTAAATATGTTTTTTCTCACAACGTGAAAAAAGGGCACGCTGGGTATTAAAAAAAAGGTAGTAATAAAAAAAAGTTTTGTATGGTTGTGATAATAATTAATAAAATTCATACTAGTTGAGTTAACTTCACTGAGTAATCCCAATTGCTCATCCCTCCATCTCTATCTTTCCTATGCGCAGGACTGTAAGTAGAAGTATGTGGATAAGGGTGGATCGGATTTCATTAAAAGATGCATCCGCCGACTCCTGGGGCCAGGAAGGACACGTAGGGTTGTCTAATTGAGTAAACACGTGTCCGTAGCACCCGTTTGCTGAACTCCTATCGGGTGCTAGGGAAACGGGTTATTACAAGAAGAGTGAAATGCGGAGAAATAGTAAGAGAAAAAGAAAAATAAAAACATAATCGACTACATCAAGTATGTGAAGGAAGAGTTTAGCAAATAATAAATAAAATACGTTGAATATTGTGGTCAAAGATTTTTTTAAGCTAAATAATGAATTATAATTTGTTTGATTGTTATGAAGTGCAATTTCCCTTAAGATAATGAAATGAAAGGTTACACAAAAAAAAAAAAAAAAAAACAGCCAAGTTACGCTACCATGTGTAAAACGCATACCACCAACTAGTCATAGAAAAACTGTTCCAGAAAAACACAAAAAAAAAACTAGTATTTAAGCCAGAATCAAGAGAGGGGAAACACCATAAAAATTCTCAGAATTAAGAAATGGATTCAAACTCTCTTCTTCCTCGTTCAGATTCTATTCAACTCCCAGTTATCGATTTCTCGGATCAAACCCTGAAACCAGGAACCTCAGAGTGGGACAAAGTGAAGGCTGATGTCCATAAAGCTTTAGAAGACTTTGGCTGTTTTGAAGCTTTCTTTGACAAAGTGTCTACGGAGCTTGATAAGTCTGTTTTCAAAGCCATGGAAGAGCTTTTCGATTTGCCCACTGAGACCAAACAGAGAAACGTGTCGTCGAAACCTTATCATGGATATCTAAGCCTAAAATTTCACGAGAGTTTAGGGATCGATGATGCTAATGTCGCTGAGAGAGTCAATGACTTTACTCAACAGATATGGCCTGGACAAGGAAATAAGAGAATCAGGTATGAATGTGAAGTTAATAACTTTGGTTTATTTGTATTAAAACAAAAATTTTACAGTCTATAAGAGCATCTACAGCAGTGGTTCAGTGAAGAAACTTTAGACCAACTCACCAGAATTTATTAACTCACAGAGCTTACAAAACTAATTTATCATATCAATTGAACCCACTCCTTGTCAAGTGGGTCTGCCCCTGATCTACAAACGTTAGATACTCTCTGTGTCTATGTGGTATCTAAGTAAATATAATACTATTATCTAAATAATAATTTGATTAGCTAATATAATTTGAAATAATAAAAACTAAGCAATTTGTAAACTGTTTTTGGGAATCTCACTTTATCTGAAACAAATGATTTCAGTCTCTTTATTCTTTGTTAATATATTTTCATTTTTAATTGGTAGATACTACTAATGAACATGCCCTAAATACATTTTGATTGACTTGCGTTTGAACCCTTTTTTCAAAGACTTTCAAAATTTGATTGATGAAAGCAACTATTTTTGTTTGGAACATTCTCTACAATCGTTCAAAAATTCAACTCATGTATATTTTGTGTCAAAAAAGTGAGATGATGCATGTGGTTTCGGAGCAATTAACGGAATTGGATGTGATGGTGAGAAGAATGATACTGGAGAGTTTTGGGATAGAGAAATACATTGAGGAACATCTTAATTCTACAAATTATCTTTTTCGAATGATTAAGTATACAACACCTCCTACTGAAGATGTAGAGACGAAGTTATGTTTACCTTCTCATACCGACAAGAACATCATGTCAATACTTCATCAGTATCAAGTTGATGGTTTGGAAATTAAGACCAAAGATGAAAAATGGATAAAAGTGAAACCATCTCATCAGCATTATTCTTTCATCGTCATGATTGGAGATTCTATGTGTGTAAGTCCTTCCAACTTCCTTCTAATATGTAATATTTTCGACACACACACTATATATGTATATATTCTAAACTTGGGAATACAACAATATAGCTATTTGTTGGTGTCACAGGCATTTTTGAATGGTCGATTATCTTCTCCATATCACCGAGTCGTGATGACAGCAAACCAGACAAGGTATTCGTCGGCATTGTTCTCGACTCCAAAGTCAGGAGTCATCATAGATTCACCTGAAGAACTTATCGATGAAGAACATCCACGTATGTTCAAATCCTTTGAGTTCAATGAGTTCCGTGACTTCTATAACACGGAAGCTGGGTTTACAGCTCAATCTACTCTCCACGCTTTCTGTGCTCTCTGAAGCATCATTTTCTTTACTCACAAGTCACAATAATGAACGTAAAAATATTATAAACTAAACAATGAATGTAATATGATTTTATGTTAAATGTTATATCAATCCAATAATATTTATGTTTTAAATTTGGCTTTTTTCTTTTTATGTAGCGACCAATCACTTGCTTTTTATTATAAATTTGATATGTATTCGCATAATACGTACACCAATCACACAAGACTTGCAAGAGAAGACATATATCTCATCTCACTACAGTTTTTTTTTCTTCTTCTCTACGAGAAAAAAAAATGTGGGGAAAGAAACAAAAACAAAACAAAAAATTTGGATTACTATACCATTCTCATTCTCTGGTTTATCGGTAATCACACGCATAGCTACCAGGCTACCAGCTAATGGACTTGTGAAACGTTTACAGACATAGGGGATGATTGGTTTGATTTTATCTCCATTTTTAGCTTTATTTTGTTTTAAATCACTAAATTTTACCAGTCATGTTATAGTTTTATTTTTGAAAATTAAAGCCTACAAGAAATTTTTGTTAACTTTTATCAATCATACTTTAGCTTTAGTATTATAGCTACAACAAAAAAGTTAAAGCAGTTTTTTTTCTTTTGTATTTTAGGTAAAATTCCTACATCTTTGTTTTATATGCCGTAGAAAATATAAAATAAAAAAAAAATCTTAAATATCAAATAAATTAGATAATTATAATAAAAATATCTATAAATATTTAGCATAGTTTTGGGTCTTTTTAAAATTATTGGAATATTTTAAATAACAAATATTACATATCAGATTTTAATAACAATAAACTTTGATAATTTTTTTTAAAAAAGAATTATCTCAAATTATTTTAGTTGATACAAAAAAATTATTTTATATATAAATAACATATTTTATTTGAAATATCTACAACCTACCGTTTACAGATATTACAAATTTAACAACATCAAGAATCTCTGCAAAAAAATCTACAGTAACATCTGTACAGCTACAACCAACTTATTTACTGCTAAATTTGTACAGCAAAATTGTTGAAGCGACAGTTAACCAATCATCACAATAGTGTTTTGACTTGTTTCAGAACTAAACGTGTTTTGGGGGTTTATTAATTATTTTGGGGATTAAAGTTTTTCAAATTACATGTTTAAAAGTTCTAAGATATTCATTTTAATTGTTTGAAGCTTTATTTTATAAAATTTAGTTTTTCAAAATTGGTAATTTATATGATTGGAACAGAATTGTAATTAGAGAAATGATCTTGGTAAAGCTTTAAAAGATTAAATGATCATTCCCGACAGATTCTAGACCGATATTTCCATCAGGAATCAGAATCCCATGTTTCGTAGTTTATTTAAGGCTCCTTAGGTTACACAGGTACGCCGACTTGGTGCGTTGGCTCGGGTACGCTTGGGAAACGTCCCCAACATGGTTAACGTGAACCCGGGACGGCATGACTCATCGGGGACGGGTTTGGTAAGATACTATAGACGTCTCAAAAACGTTTTCTAGATAAAGTAGAGGTATTTGATTTTTTTTGTGTTACTAAGTCTACATATTAAATCATATTTGTTTAATTTGTTTATTCTATTATTTTTGAAAAGATTAAATGATAAAATTAAAGAATTGCTTATGAATAAACTCTTTTTCTATCACTCTCAAGTCTCAACCATATCTCACTGTGACAACGTAACCTTATATCTCTTTCAGTCTGCGTCAAAATCATGATTTCTCAGCAAGCAACAACACGTTAGCAAAGCAAAATCCTTCTTATCTATTTGTCTTTAATGGAACTTCTGATTTTTATGTTTTTGTCATTTGCGTTTGAATTATATTTCATATAATTCAGTCTCAACAATATCTCTCAGTGACAGCGTAACCTTATATCTCTTTCAGTCTGTGTCAAATTTCATGATTTCTCAGCAAGCAACAACACGTTAGCAAAGCAATTTCCTTCTTATCTATTTGTCTTTAATGGAACTTCTGATTTTTATGTTTTTGTTATTTACGTTTGAATTATATTTCATATACATTGTTTCTGGTTTCTTCTCTGTGTTGGTGTTGTTGAGGAAGTCGGAGACTACAGCTGTGGAGCTGTGGAAGTCGTCCATGGTGGGGTGTTTGTTTCGCCAAATAGTACATATCTTGACAAGGTTAATGCAAAAGTAAAAACCTCGATATTTATATAGTGCATGTCACTTTCATTAACAATGTTATTTTGACTGATAAGTTCAGCAAACGTTTCAAACATTAAAATCCTTAGAAATCATTCACATTTTTTTGTTTTTCAACTCAGTTTTATTGACTTTTGAGGGTTTAGATTTGTGTATGTTGTAAACAATGATCATTATTTTTCAAAGCAAGCCCAACCACGTAGTCATGCAGACCAGTCGATCCGTAGTTAACTAGCCAGGAAAATTAAACAGAGTGATTTGAACGATCAATTTGTGTTCTTCCCAATCATTTTCTGGTACTTACCATTGATAATGCTCCAAGATACTTTGAAAGTAATGTTTTAACTAACAGAAAGGAGACAAAATGGCTTTGATTGATAGCATAATTTAGCGAAAAAGAAAAATGGTGGGAAAATATTCATTATAACTACCGATCAAAAAGAATAGAGTGGAAACTTTATTTCTTTAAATGGGAAAAAAAAAGTAAAAATCCCACCAATATATCACTTACGTTTCTTACAAGTTCAAATTGCCAAATATGACTCAAAACTTTATTTGAAATACAAAAGTAAATCCAAACTTGAATCAAATGCAAAATTAACTTAAAAGGCTATTGAAATTATAACCAACCCCTTGTGAACAAACAAACAAAAATATTTTTTTTACGTTTTTCTAGCCCTCGCAAGTCGTCTGGGACAGTTTTTCTTAAAAATAATTTAAAAATTGTGTGATAAATATCTTGATAAATGAAAAATTGGAATTATGTAATTAACATGTGTCTTAAGAGATATAAATTAAGATATAACAAAAATCAGTTGTTTTCAGCATAGATGAGTGAAAGTAGTGAGTCATGATATTCTTTAGTTTAGGTTTCACCAATATATGTTGTAGTATTGTATGTGTTTCTTAGAGTTAGATTTTCGAAAGCATAAATGTTTTTTTGAAAAATTAAAAATTTACCTAAGTGTGTTTATTTCTGTGTATAGTAAACACTATTTAACTATAATTTGATTTTATAACGTGGTTAGTTAGTTAATTTAGTCAATTTAGTTTAGGGTTTAGGGTCTAGACAACTGAAATATCAGTCGTCTGGTAAATAATTTTACACAGACGACTTATAAGTAAGTCGTACTAATATTCCCGCCTAAAATTTAAAAAAAAATTATTTTCCCGCTTGAATAATTTAAACCAGACAACTTACTTGTAAGTCTTCTGGACGACTTACTTGTAAGTCTTCTGGACGACTTAGTTATAAGTCTTCTGGACGACTTACTTCTAAGTCTTCTGGACGACTTACTTCTAAGTCTTCTGGACGACTTAGTTATAAGTCTTCTGGACGACTTACTTGTAAGTCTTCTGGACGACTTACTTCTAAGTCTTCTGGACGACTTACTTCTAAGTCTTCTGGACGACTTACTTGTAAGTCTTCTGGACGACTTATTTCTAAGTCTTCTGGACGACTTACTTCTAAGTCTTCTGGACGACTTACTTGTAAGTCTTCTGGACGACTTACTTGTAAGTCTTCTCAAAAGTCTTCTATTTTGGTTTCCCGCTAGAAATATTTTAGTTTCCCGCTAAAATTATTAAAGTCTCCTGGACAACTTACATTTCAGTCATCTGAATCGAAAATATTTAACCTAACTTTTTTTTTTCCCTATAAAAAGAAAAATTTACACATTTTCTCTCCTCTTCTCAAATGTCTGCAACAAAAAAAGTAATGTTCATCTTTCTAGAACTCTCCAATCTCTCTATAATCTGTTTGAACTTATAAACACCAAACTTTATATCAATTTATTGTTTTTGTCTCATGTCTTTCTCATTAACTTATCTTGTTTTGTAGGTTTTTCATCACATGATTCTCATATTCCACTCATTTAAAGATAAATCTTTTAACTTTATATGAATTTTTCAGTTATGTCTCATGTTTTTCTCACTAATCTATCTTTTTTTTTTTTGCAGGTTTTTAATCAGATGGTTCTCATCTTCATTTGGATGTATGTTATGTTTTCTATAAAAGTATATATATATATATATATATATATATATATATATATATATATATATATATATCTAATCTTTCACTCATTTTCTGTGTGTTTTAAGCCATTTGAATATTTTTTGATATGCAGGTTTTTCAGATCTGAAAGTCTTCTGGACGACTTACTTGTAAGTCTTCTGGACGACTTACTTGTAAGTCTTCTCGAAAGACTTCTGGGATGACTTACCTGGAAGTCATCTGGACTTCCTGTAAGTCATCTGGACTTCCTGTAAGTCATCTGGACTTCCTGTAAGTCATCTGGAATTCCTGTAAGTCATCTGGAATTCCTGTAAGTCATCTGGAAGTTGTCTGGACTTTCTGAAAGTTTTCTGACGCTGTCTTCTTTCATATCAAGTGGAGTCCAAGCTTGTCTTTTGTAAAGGAATGATCTATTATAGTTTTGTAAAATCAGTTCCCAAGATGTAATATATGTGCTAACAATGTGTTTACACATGCACAAATCAATGAAATAATAGACTTCAGTAGCTTTTTCATCTTTTGGATCTCCCATATGCAATAATAAATCACAATGTCCTTCTGCTCATCTTAATAAACAAGAATGTTGGTAGTCTCGTATTGATACAACATTTTAAACATTTTAAGAAGAATTTTAACATTTCTTCCAACAAATCATCATTGGTGTTAAAGCATATTACATGTTTTACAAGGTTGTGTTGAAAAACTTAGTCAAATTTAGTAAAATTAAGGGAGAAAAAATATTTTGAAAATATAAGATTTACATATCATGAAGTTATTTAACACTTTTAAAAATACAAGTAATTCAAAAAATATTTTTATCACTTTATTCAACCAAGAAAATTTAGTAAAATTCACAGAAGATCAAACATTACGGGATTTCATCAAATATTTTTATCACTCTATTCAACCAAGAAAACTTAGTAAAATTCAAAGAAGATCAAACATCCAGCTAAAAGACTTTCCAGCTG